ATTTAATTTTCTACAGAAAATAATGATACCTATATTTTTAGATTATCGTATTATTGTATGATGAATTGGTCAGCCGAACAAGTACTACAATGGTGCAAATCATTTATAACGGATGATTTTATTTTATCTCGTTTCGAAGGTCAGTTATTTGATTTTAATTATAAAAATAAATATATTTTTTATCGAAATTATTCGAAATATTGATTCTTTAAAGTAATATTATAGCATGTTGTATCAGAAACTAATGTGTTATACAGAATATGTAGAAATATTTGTTTACTTTCTTTTCACGTAGTCTTCATTCTCTTTGTTTTCTTTGTAAAGTAAAAGCGCGTGCGCAAAAGAAAATAATTTAAGATATTTAAATAGGTCGTAATTCTATTTGTTTATAATTGTTATCTTGCTCTTTATACCACTTTCATTTCTAAAATAAATTTGTTTCAAACAGTTAATAAAAGTAATAAAATAATTTAATTAATTTATTCAGTAATTCTTCTAAGTCTTGTTTGTGTTCTCGCAGAAAGATTATGTCATTGTTTATTTGTCCACTATGTTCTACTAATCGTGAATTCTCAACTTTTTTAAAACTATTTCGGCACATTACTGTGTTTCATCAAAACGAACCCAGATTCGAAATTACGTGTAATTTGGATGTCTCATGTGGTGTTTTATATCGTACATATTCAGCTTATAAATCTCATGTATATCGTCATCATGCACACCATCTTCATTCAACACAAGAAATCGCTACAAATTCTAACATTATTTTCAACAACAATGTTCAACATAATAATCAAGATTCCAATGATGACAATGATAATCTTGATCTCTTCGAAGACCATGCTGAATCTGATTCATTGAACAGTGAAGATGAAGAAGATAATCACTACACCACATTATTAGCTTCAAATAATAATCGAGAAAAGAATACATTGTCTTTATTGGACGTCAAAAAATCTTATATTTCATTTATTTTACAGTTACGAGAAGAGTTTTTCTTACCGAAGAATACTACAAATGTTATTTCGACATATATCGTAACATTAATTAATCATTTAGAAGTTTTACTCGAAGAAAAAGCATTTATGAATCAATCAAATATTCTTTCATCAACTCAAACATCAAATGGAATGGTTGTTGAGTTACAAGCATTGAAGAAAACTATGAGCGAGATATCGAATGAAATACAAAGCACTACTAGAAATGAATATCAATTTATAAAAAATTGTCAAAAGTATTTTGATTATCATGCACCTGAAGCTATTCCAATATCTACCGACGATGAACAACTGGAACACGGTTATTATATACCTATTCATAGAACGTTGTCATCTGTATTATGTTCAAAAGATTTTTCAATTCAAATTATTGAAAATATTCAGCAGCAAAGAATAGCAGTAGAAAACGATGATGATCTAATGTTGTCGTTTAGAGACAGTACTTTTGGTAGTAGAATTGATGATAATAGTTTGATGATTCAGCTCTACATGGATGATATCGGATTGACTAATCCTATCGGCGCAAAAAAAGACCATCATAAGATGGCTATGATTTACTTTTGTCTTGATGATACACCTGAACAATATCGATCTCAACTTGATTGTATTTATTTAGTTGGATTATGTCCAACCAGCATTCTAAAGGTAAAATATCTAATTGAAATTAATTAATAGTCGTCATTTTTGTCTTCGAGAAATTATCGAAATTATTTTGAAAAAATGTTCGAAAATATAGTTTTTGATAAACTCAGTTTATCATCGTTTTTTTTTTTGAGAATAGTTCAATAATTCTATTTTTAAATATAATAGCATCTTCAGAATAAGTTCACAATCATATAATATATTTTATTTTGAGGACAATGCTAAAGCGGAATGCTTTTTCCAACATATTATTTATGACTTAAATAAATTATAAATTGAAGGACTCATTATCAATGATCATCATTGGAAGTTCTCTTTTTCTACATTTGTTGCCGACAACTTAGCAGCTCATATGATTGGCGGCTTTCAGTAATGTTTCAGCAATGGGTACTTTTGCCGCAGATGCCATATTCAATATACTCAAAAACATCTGCCAATAACAAAAACCAAAATCACCAGCAGAACATGTATTGAACATGATGATTTAGTTAAGAAGATTCTTACTGATCCTCTTAAGTCTCCTCGGATGGGTGTAACTGGACAGAGCCCAGTTCATAATCTGATCGGTTTTCATTCAGTAACCTCTCTTCCTGGTGACGTGATGCATGATTTCATAGAAGGTGCTTGTTCACTCGTTATGATGGCAATACTTAAGCAGGCATCATCTAACCGTGTCATCACTTACGGTGAGAAACTCTTATTTCTCATCTATAAATATAATGAAAATTTTTCATCATATTTATTTCATCGATATTTTTCTGAGAAAAGTTGATATAAACTAGATATGTATCATTTATTTGAATCAGTTCTAGTTGATTTTCGCTGAGTGAGTAGAATATTGTCTTGTATGTCCAGTTAAAAATACTTGAGATTGTATTTGTGTATTCAGTCAAAATAATAATTGTTCAGTTTTATATTTTTGTAAACAAAATGTAAAACATAGAAAATAAGATACATCTGACTTTGTATGCTGATAATTGATTAATAAATAGTTGAATAAAATGTATTTTATCTCAGATAAAATCACATAGTCTGTAGTCTATCCATGTATTGTCAAATAAATCTTTGTAGAAACAGAATGATGTAATGACTTGAACATATTTTAGATCATTGTGACAGAGTTAATATTTGTGTAGATATATGATCTATAATAACTTCTGTGCACATTGATACAATTGGAAGGTTTTTTCACTTTTATATCTCTATTGATATTTTCATATAATGAGATACGTATTAGCATGTTATTGTGCGTTTTTTAAAGTAAAATAAAAAATACAATAAGCTGTGAAGAGATCAATTATGAATATATAGAGAAAAAAAAATCAAACAGAACTGATTCGTATTCGTGATAAGTAATTTATTTGAATAAAAAAAAAGAATTATAAAATACTGCTTTATTATTATTTATGATTATCATTGGGCGTTTCGCAGTATTTACTTATCTTTTTTGTTTAAAGCTGGTATACAAAAACGTATGGAACAATTCCATTACGGATATTTTGATAATATGCACAGGCCATCACCTATACAAATAAAACACCTCCAGAATGACAGAATTGTAGCAACTGCTTCACAGAAACTCTGTCTTTTTAAAATGTTTCCATTAATTTTCAACGATATTGTTGTTACTCTACCAAGTTTTATCGTTTATAAACAATTACGTGAAATACTCGATTTAGTTTTATCCTTACCATTCAGAAGAAGATGGTTACTCACTTTGAAGGATTTATGTGTTTCATTTCACGAATCAATGTTCAAACACTTCCCAAACAAAATGACGCCGAAAATTCATTTTATATCTGAATATGATCAAATCGTAAACGATTACGGACCACCATTACGACAATGGTGTATTCGTTATGAAGCACGATATGCTTATTTCAAAAAGATCACAATTAAATCTAATAATTTTAAAAATGTACCAAAAATGTTAGCTACACGATATAGTTTGAAACAGATATATAAATTATCTCGATTACCTCATTTAAGAATGTCAAATTATGCAGTACGAATTCAAAAGATTGAGATTTCAGTTTTTAACAAACAGATGAAAGAGTTGCTGTTGAACCATTTTGGTGATATTAATTTGAATAAAGATATTGTTCAATGCAGTAAATTATGCTATGACAATATTGAGTATTGCCGATTTACAGTACTCATAATTGGTTTGTTGAATATTAATGAACAACCAATATTTGGTCAAATAATTCGTATTCTTAAAACAAATGAGAAATGGTGGCTGCTTGTTGATGTATTGACGACGGTTGGTTATGATGAAAATTTATTTGCATGGGAGATAAAATCTACCGATCATTATGTTATGCTTGATCCACGTAATTTAAAGTATTATTATAAAGGACTGGATGTTTACGAAGTGAACAATGCGAGTTTTGTTTGTTTTACGACTCGTCTCACATTATTTTAGTTGGTCTGAAAAACATACTTATGTGAAAAAATGAAGATTAGAAAAATCAGATTCAAATCAATTATAATCATCCTTTTATAATTTGATTTTAATCAGATATTTCAGTATAAAGTACTTCGATTATTTGTAGTTTTGATTATTTTGTAATGATTAAAATTGATTGAAGCATTTTAATCGATCATAATCACTAACACGTAATCAAAATCACAAATAATGTAAGTATTTTCTACTGAAAAATCTGATTAAGATTCGATTATAAAAGTTTGATTACACTTGATTTGAATCTGATAGTGCTAATCTTTATTTTTTACATATGTAGTAATCCAAAAATCATTGTTTATTATGATCATACAATTTAAAACATTATTTATCTTTTATGTGAACATTTTGTTTTATTCTATTTCTTTTTATTATACAGAGTGTATGAAACTACTCAAGAGTTTTTCTATGTTTGTAGATCGATACCTGCAGTATCGAAAAATAGTTTTGAAAACGTTGTGAATTTATTATCATATCAAAAGATCTTTATCTCTATTTCTCTTATAGAATACGACATCGATGGTACGACACTTGAGATGATGAGCAATGTGGAAAGAATCTCAACAGTTATACCAACATTTAAACAACAATTACTTTTCTTGAAAGAAAGAGAAAAACTCTTTCAAGCAAATAATGATATTACAATTCATTCTTCTAGTTCTTCATCGTTTTCTTCAACAAATTTTAACTCATCATCTTCTTCAACAAAGCTTAATTCATCATCCTCTTCTATTGAATCAATATCAAATAATTTATTCAGTAAATCTTTAAATCAATTAACTTCTGATCAATCATTCGATGAACAGATGATCAAACAAACGTTTCCTGATAAATATATAATTCCACCTTTACCAGATGCTGTGCTTAAAGATATAGAAGAAGCTGCTCTGCATAAGTTTGGTCCACATTGTTCGAATCGTCAAATTTTGGTTGATGCTGTTGCACATGACTTGATAAGTAACTACAAGATCTTGTAAGTTAAATAATAAAATAAATCATATAAAAAATTTTCAAGAAATGAACATATATTATTCTCTTTGTGTATTCACTAATAGCTGAAAATCATTTATAGATTTTACAGTAAGTAGCTCAGACAGTTACTAATTCACGTATGTTCAATATTGACAATTATGTTTTATTATTTACATTTTTAGAAACATTGTGTATTTCTATTTTAATAAGTATCACAAGAATTTTATTTAAATTATTAACTCTCTGTCTTATTCTTATTATCTTTATACGTCTGTACATGTATATATACATATTTATTTATTTGAAAATGCACAATACAATTGCTTTAATCAAATGAGTTAACAGTAAAGAATATAATTGTCTATCATCACATTGAGAGAATTCATTGCAGTAGTACTTCGCACTAATCTTGACGATATAGACAGAGAGAAATGATATGAAATCTTGTCTATTTAACATGATTATGACTTTAGGCGCTTTCTCAAAAATGATAATAAATATTGTAATCGAATTGATTGTTTTTTTTGTTTAGTTATTCAAATCATCAACAGTTTGATGTTATTGGCATCGCAATGGTAGAATTTTTAAAACTACCAGCAACTAAACATAATGTGGTAAGTTCATTTCTATTTCTTAGATCGTATTGAAAACTTGATGATTTTTGAATAAGCAGAAATTAACAATTTATATTTTTCTTTTGATTGATACACCTAAATTTTATATTAAAAGAATTATTATTAATATTCAGAAAAACTAGAAGGTTTAGTTTATTTGATGTATAGTTAAATATAAATATGAGAATAGAGTTATGCGAGAGAGAAACTAGCATATATATTTATCCTTCTATGTTAAAATAAAAACACAATTGTTTTTTCATCTTTATCATTGTTCTTCAATTAAGATTAGTAGTAAATGCGATGTATTCATATCTTTGTGATTTATAGAGTATAGATTTAACTTCTAAAAAGAGTTGTAAGTTTAAGTTTCAATATCGATTTTTTCCTATTTTATGTTTTAAAATGATAGAGTCTATACCTACAGGATTTTGAAATATATACATTGATTCATGATTTTGCGTTCAAAAAACCTTCAGATTCGATATATATTCATAGTTCTCGAAAGGAAAAATGATTTTTCAAGACAACAAGATAATATTTATTCAAATTCTTGATATTATTACTTCAAAAGTGATAAACAACAATATAAATATGTTTTATTTTTTTAGGGTGTTTGGAAGGATGCCCTTCAAACGAAATTAAAAAGAAAACGATCTGAAAATTCAGATCATATTGAAGTTCAACAATATCAATTGAAATATGCTCGTGTTGGTTCAGGTCGTCCAATTAAAAAACGAATTGGAGAGGTGGTCCAACGTGATCGTCAAAAGCAGGTAAATATTTAAATTATTTATTTCATTGTTATCAAGTCAGCTTTTTCTTGTAGATGATGCTCGCCTTTTATGATGAAACGACATTACATAACATGCAACTTAAAGCTGAACAATTACGTGATATTTCTCCAATTGATATAAATAATCAAGTGAAGTTATGGAACGAGACAATGCAAGTTCGTCGTCAATATATTCGTGAAAATTCAACATCAGATATAGTGAAAGAATTTCCCGGTTATTCAAATCCCATTTTAGTAAGTTTATTCGTTATATATTATTTATGTTTTTTTTGACTTATTCATTTTTGTAACAGATATTTGAAGAAATCAAAATGATTATGAAGGTGGATTTGGCTGCTGCTGCTCGTCGACAAGTACCTATTTTAATCGAAAAAATATCTAAAACATTTGATTTCATTAATGGTAACTAGATCGATTAATATATATATATATATTTTCATAAGTACTGTTTTATTTAGATTCTTCACCATTTCGTCTTATTAAGATTCTTTGTCGGGAATTCAATGAAATAGTGCATCATATACTTTCAAATACGGTTAGTTCTCTTTAATATTATTCTGAGATTATTTGATTATAGCCTGAAGGATGATCATAAAATTATAAGAAAATGAGATAATATAAAAAGATTAGAAAGATTCGATAAACTGAATATCTGTTTTCTGATAAAATTTTTGTATTTTCAATACATATAAAAACTTAATGATTTCTATACTTTGATTCGTTAGAAAACTAACCTTTATTTAATCATCTGACAATTTCATTACTTTCTAAAACATCTAACTAAAGATTATGTTACTATTTCAAAAACAAACAAATCGCTTCCCAAGAGTAAATGAATAATACATCTTATATGATTTTTTCTCTTATTTTGGATACATATTTATACATGATTTTAATGTATTTTCATCTATTAATTGCATATATTTTAATGTTTCTAGGAACCATCAATACCTCATCCGACACTAGTATTAATTGGTGATCGAATATATATTTATGTTGATTTCGTTCAAGTAGTATCAACATCATCACCTGATGATGCACTTGCTTTATTAATTGCGATGTATACTATTTTCGAGTTGGCTTTTAACAAAAACAGTCGTTCAATCCGATTATTATATTCAATTCTTTATGCTGATCCACGTTTTCTTCCAAATACAATACGTATTTTTCTAAAAGAAAAGAACATCGATGTCTACGATGAAGAAAACAAAAAGCTAACAAGTTCATCGACTATTTTATCTAATAATACAACAACATCAATCAATTCACAGTCTTCAAATGATCTTGCAATTATTCAAACATACAGTTCTCCTGTTCAAGACAATGATATAAATAGTCCTGATCCAACAAATACAATTTTTTCTCAAAAAAAAGCTGATTTAGATTCAAATATTGTAATTGATATTGATCAGTACGTTCTATTTTCATCAATTATTTTATTTATTTTTTATGATTTATTTTCATTTAGAGCAAGTCAGATTGTCGAAGAATCATCAACTGTGTTAAAAGATTCTCCAAATCAATATTTAAAGTCAAGAAAACGACCACAACGTGTAGCAAAAGCTTCAGTTGAAAAATCAAAATTATTTATAGACAATATGGATGACAACGAAGAAGATACACAAGAGAATCATCTTCCAAATAAAAAAAGAAAATCAAGTACTTCTTCTCGATCATATAAACGGACACGCCGTGATTGATCTGGATTTCTTCAATAATCATGATAAACATTATTCTCGTTCTTTTGTAAACTTCTTCTATAAAACTACCGAGTTATTTAACATTTTCATACACTAAAATATTCTTTTCTCAATTCTTCAAATGTTTTCATTATATACTAGTAAAACTAGATAAAAAAAATATCGATAACAATAAAGGAATTAGGTCCTACAATTAATATCAAACAAATAATTTATCCAATAGACTAAACAAGTACAGAACATTTATATGATGTCAAAATGTAGTTACATCAACTCTTAATATTTTACAGTAAAAGAAACTAAACTACACATTACTAACTCAAACACATTGTATATATATAAATTTTCTAATCAAATGCAGTTTTTATATGAAATCAGCATTCTGATCTCGTGTTAGAAGCAATAAATTTATCTATATGATCAATATCTTCTTCATATTAAGCGTTTATGTCAAATTATCTTCGAACACGAAAATCTATTCTATCACTCAAATTTTTGTATTTCATATGTATCGTAACATTCTTTTCGAATTCAGCCATTCCATAGTAATAACCACATTCAAACTCTTTTTTTCAATTTCAACACTACTTATTAAGTTCTCAACAACAAATAAAAAAACTACTCTTTTTAATGAAGCACAATTTTCTACTATAACATTATCTCAACGACCGACACACAAAATGCAACACAATCTTAAAAAAATTCATTCAACACCTTTGTTCTCTTCAACCAATCAATCTTATCAAGTATCATAATACAAATATTCTTCTTTAGTTTTCAATAGCATTGAAAACAATCTTTCGTTTAAATGTCTTTTTTCATATCAACTATTCAAAGAAAACTTTCGAATACTAAATTATATCCATTTATCTCCATCATTTTTTATTACTTTGAACTGTATTTTTGTTCTTTCTACTTTAGATCAATAACGTTGGTATGTTAGACATGATCAATTTATTTCAATGGATCTTTTTTTATTAATTTAAATTGTAGTTCTGTTTTCTATTTTAGGTGAACAACTTTGGTATGTTGGACTTGACCGATTCACTTCAATCGATCTTGTTTTTATTACTTTGAACTGTGTTTTCTTCTCTATTTTAGGTAAACAACTACGATATGCTGGACTTAATCAATTCGTTTTAATGGATCTTTTTTTTATTACTTTGAACTGTGTTTTCTTTTCTGTTTTAGGTAAACAAGTACGATATGTGAGACCTGATCAATTTATTTCAATGGATCGTTTTTTATTAATTTAAACTGTATTTTTATTTTCTATTTTAGGTAAACAACTGTCATATGTGGGACTTGATCAATTTGTTTCAGTAGATCTTTTTTTATTACTTTCAATTGTATTTTTCTATTTTACGTAAACAACTTTGGCATGTTAGATTTGATCAATTTGTCTCAATGGATCTTTTCTATTACTTTAAATTGTATTTTTGTTTTCTATTTTAGGTGGACAACTACGATATATTAGATTTGATCAATTTCTTTCAATCGATCATCTTTTATTAATTTAAATTGTATTTTGTTTTCTATTTTAGGTGAACAACTTAGGTATGTTGGACCTGATCAGTTTATTTCAATCGATCATCTTTTATTACTTTAAATTGTATATTTGTTTTGTACTTTAGGTAAACAACTATGATACGTTGGACTTGATCGATTCGCTTCAATCGATCTTTTTTTTGTTACTTTGAACTGTATCTTTGTTTTCTATTTTAGGTCAACAACTTTGGTATGTTGGACTTAATCAGTTCGTCTTAATGGATCTTTCTTTCATTTGCCGTTGTGTTTGTCAGTTAAGGTAATCTCATTTGATATTTTACTTTTGATTATTTCATTACAGTTCCTTTCATTCTCTTTTCCATTATATTACTATTTCATATCTCAGAAAATTCCTGCACAATACTGTTCTCGACTACTTCATTTTAATTCTTTTTCTTCTTGCATTTTAAATTTTGGGAATATTATTTCACATTAATTCGTTTCAATACGGTTTATTTTTTTAGCTTTGTGTTGTGAATTATCAAAAGAATCTTCTTAATATGACAGCTGCGCTAGATTTATTTCCATATCATACACATATATTGTCCATTTTTGCGTTTCTAATACAAAAACAGAGGTTTTCTTGTAATATTTTTTCAGCGATTCCTTTCTCTTTCTGTTATTTTTCCACTATCTATTGCTTTCTCAGTTCGAAGTAACGGATGACTAGATGTAAGTCGTAATGGATTGCTTCGAATCTTTTTCCTCTCAAAGTTTTTTTTGAAAATTTGAGAAAGATTTTGTTGATATTAGTTCTGATTATTTTCTTCTACCCTCTTCTCTGTCGGCTATGCTTCACTTCCAAACTTAAGTGTAGAAATTCCAAATATCAGCTACTATACTTCTATTTCTTTCTCGGCCCATTTTTTTACATTGCGTCGCGTTTAAATATCAGAGAATACTGATTCCCAATAATAATGTGGATCAAGTTTCGTAAAACGTTTCATTTCAGTTTTCCTTTAGGATTAAAACTTTCGAATCGTTTGAAATATTAGCTTCGAAATATTCTGTTCAAAGCACCAGTTTTCCGTTAGCTCAAATCTTATTCGACTTGCAATTCTCTACCGTTAGATGTGCTTCCTGCAGTCTACTGGATACTTCTATGTCTTATTTGTTTTCTGTATTTACGTTTTCGCTTCGACTGAAAAACAGAGGACCGACTTTTGACAAACGCGTATGTATCCTTCCCGCTAAACGCTGTGCCACCTTATAGGTAATTGTCATGTTAATGTACCTGTCGTTCTACCAATTCATCTGCCCCTATAGATAACTGTCATCTGAATGTACCCATAGTTCTACCAATTCAACTACCCCTATAGGTACCTGCCATCTGAATGTATCTATTCTTCTACGAATTCAACTACCCTTAAAGATATTTCCCATCTGAATGTACCCACTCTTCTACGAATTCAACTCCCCTTAGAGATACTTCCTATCAGAATATACCCACTCTTCTACGAATTCAACTCCCCTTAAAGATACTTGTCATCTGAATGTACCCACTCTTCTACGGATTCAACTACCCTTAGAGATATTTCCCAGCTGAATATACCCATTCTTCTACGAATTCAACTCCCCTTAGAGATACTTCTTATCAGAATATACCCACTCTTCTACGAATTCAACTACCCTTAAAGATACTTGTCATCTGAATGTACCCACTCTTCTACGAATTCAACTCCGCTTAGAGATACTTCCTATCAGAATATACCCACTCTTCTACGGATTCAACTACCCTTAGAGATATTTTCCATCTGAATGTACCCATTCTTCTACGATTACATCTACCTGATGGCTTATATTTATGCTTAATATACTTGATAATATACGGTGTTATCAATCCTTTGTTGAGTTCAGGATAATGATAAACCCTGTCATAAATGGGTTTTTTTTCGAAATAATCGGGTATATGTTCGTCAAATACCCTTCAAATCGGATTGTTTGCAGACTTCACTAAATGGTCTATTGTGATTCATAAACGGTTCTAGTGGGTTTTTGAAAGTGCAACGTATAACAATCCCTTTAAGGGTTCAATGATAATATAAACGCTGCAATAAATCCTTTAGTAAAGTTTTTTGATGTTCATAAACGTTTTCATATTTCCTTTGCAAAGCGTTTATTCCACAGTTTATGCAAATATCATAAACGGGAGAAAAGGGTTTGTTATACGTTGCACTTTCATAAACGTTTAAAAGGTATTTTATTCTGCGCCTTTTTTTTACAGTGTGGGTGCGAGATTAATGACTCGACTTTTTCCTATATCTAAAAGAAAAAAAAGGTATTTAAACTATTTTACCGTATTTTATTATGTTTTGTATTTTGACGATAACGTCGTTATTCCTCAATAGAATTCAAAACTTCATTATACGAAAATGATCCGCGAAAAAAGCTCTACAAAATCTGAGGGAAAAGAAAATTTTCTGAATGCTCTGTATATTTGTGCTTGAAACCCCATCGAACTATCCTACTGAGACCCACATACCCCCTATGGTAAACACCGCAAGAAAGGGATCAGATCAAGACAAACGGATATCGGATTCGTGATCTGGGTGACCAGGACTGTCATATTATGACATTTCTAGACGGTGAAAAAATTCATCGTTTTTGGATCACCCCCTTTATTATAAACAAATTATATGATGAATTCTTGACTTTTATAAACAATCATTTATTACACGGAACATGCAACTGATTGCAGAATGATTACGTACGTTAGATATTAATAACGTATGTAACTGTCAGAAACTGTTCGTGCTACTTTCAAACGAAAGATAAGAAAAGAAGAGAGATTTATGAGACTAATCGTTTTGAAAACAAAAAAAACGAGCAGCCCATATTATAAATACAGCGGCATTTTCAATACTCACTCATTTATTTTTAACTTTCTAATTCCAGTTATATCTTCAGTGTAGCGAGAAATATTACATCCAGATAAAAAATGGGTGAGTTACTTTTCTTGAAATAAAAATATCTTTTTTTTATTTGCGAAAAAACTACGATCATTCGATTCTAACAGTACAAATAATAATATTTTCTATTACTGTTGAACTATATCAAGTTACTTTAGAAAACTTCGTTCTTTAATCACTTTCATCTGCTTACTGGTAAGTATATCCAAAGTCTAGTCTTTGACTAGCAATACGATTCGCTATTCAGCGAACACGATTCGCTATTTAGCGACCACGATTCGCTATTTAGCGACCACGATTCGCTATTTAGCGACCACGATTCGCCGTTTGGCGACCCCGATTCGCTAATTCAGTGACCACGATTCGCAGTTTGGGTGTGGGTGTGTGTGTGTGTGTGTGTGTGTGAGGGTGGGTGTGGGTGTGGGTGTGGGTGTGTGGGTGTGGGTGTGGGTGTGGATGTGGGTGTGGGTGGGTGTGGGTGTGGGTGTGTGTTTGGGTATCAAAGTAAGGTTAGAGTATTATCCGTACGGACACTGTGCCGCA